AATTAACGCGCAAAGACGGAGATAGCCGCGCGCAGGACAATTAATAACGATTAACGCGCTTCTCTCCGTGCGCTTATATATGCACAGCCTGGCACACGAATACACACGAGGAAGCTATAAACGCTCCGCGCGTGCATTAGTTATTATATTGTCATCAAAGAAGCTGCAAAATTAATTCTGCGGTAGCGCGACCGCAGACAAAGTATATAATACTCTCTCTCTCTCTACTCGTCGTTTGCTGCAGTCGGAAACGCACACACATACGCACACGTGATATCCTTGCGCCGCGTAATAACAAACATTAATACAAACAGAGAGTTAAACGCCCGCCCGCTCGCGCTGGCATAGTAATAATTTTGTTTGCGTCGAGTCGAGCTTTGCTTAATTTCAATTTCGAGCGCGTTGTGGGGCAGAGAAGGATGTTGATTTTTTTTTTCGTTTTGTTTCGTTTTGCACGAATTTTTACACCGATTCACACGATGTGCACGAGATGTGGGGATATACATATTTACAAAGCGAATAATTGTAAAATTGTGATTTTTTTTCCGTTTCGTTTTGCACGAATTTTTACACCGATTCACACGATGTGCACGAGATTTGGGGATATACATATTTACGAAGCGAATAATTGTAAAATTGTATTTTGGTAAAATCGTAGCAGCTACCTTACAACGTACCGAGTCTGGTTTTCGATATCGAAGATAAGAAATTCACAGGTGCTCTCGCGGCGTGAGGTCTTTGTGTCATTCGACGTAATCGACGTACAAAATAAAGCACTGACTTTATCCGAACAAAATTCATACGTGTTCATCGTCGATTTATCAGCGAGAAGTTACATATCGAAACTCTCGCGGCCTCGAGTCCGACGACCTGCCTTTATCATTGACTCTTTCGAGCACACATATACTGAAAATCGTGCGGTGCAGCTGTTACCCTCTCGATCGCACTTTCGAGTTCCCATTTTCAACGCGTGCCGTGCGCGCTATTATAAGCGCAGCGCCAATTATGCACCGATCGATGCAACGAAAGAATTCGAGACGAAACAAAAGATTTTTCGGCGCGGGGGTTAAGGTATACCGTGCAACGTAACGGATCCTCTCGTTTTTGTGCGCTCGCGCTGATAGACATAGTAGGTATATACAGGTGGTGCACGTGGAGGCGTGCGGTAAAGAAACAAAAACAATCGAATTAAGAAACACACAGAGCGAGAGAAGTTTTCTCTCTGGCAGAAAGATGCGCGCGCGGCTGCCTTAATTATTCGCCGCCGTCGAAGGGCACATGCACACACAGTCTGGAAAACGAAGCGATTTTTCCCCCATCTTCGTTAGCTTACATACATACGTACAATTATAGCACGCGGATCGAATTACTACAGATGTAGCCTCTTCTTTTTATTCTTCTTCGTCTTCTTCTGCTGTTGCTGCTGCTGCTTCGAGTGATTAAAGCCGGGCCTCTCGCGATTGATCGACGTGCAATTTGTCAGGTGTATTTTGTTAACGTACTCTTCTCTGGCACTCAGACTTGTTGTGGGCCCGCCGCCGCCGCACCATTACCGCGAGTTAATTATGGGAAAATTCGCTGCAGGTCATTTGCCTTCGATATAATATCGTCGAGGTTATCTCATTCCTTCGAGTCTTTCATTCATTTTACTTTATAAATGGTAAATATGTTTTTTTATCTTTTGCGCATTATAAAATCAGCGATTTCTCGAACGCGCATCTTCTTCGTCGTCGTCGTGCGCCCCGATGAGTGAATTATGAATAAAATCACATTGTGAGCAGATCTCCGATTTATTAATTATCGAATGTTTGAGAGGTTCGATATAATATGTATCGGCCGATGGAATACACTAATTAGCTAATCCAGTCGTCGAAAATACTTTTCGAAGCGAATATACGCGAATATTCGATCTCTTTTAACGAGCCCCGGCTCGCGCATATTTATATTATGCGGATAAAGCCGAGCTGTATAATACATTGCGGATCGCCGCCGCCGCCGTCGCGGCTTTTTTCTCGTCCCATTACGTCAAGCAGCCTTTAACGATTATTAGTGATAATGATTGCGAGCGGGCCGCTTGATATATCCACATTGCGGCCCCGTATCGCGGGCAACAATTCCCGACGCGTTCTTCCTTTTAACTCGCTTGCAAATGCATATAATACTGAATCTTGCTCCATTTTACCGATAAAAATCGATATCGACGAATTAATTCGCTTTCGCGTACGCGTATGCGGCGTAAATCCTTCGCGTGCCTTCTCGCGAGCACGAATATAAATAATACGTGTGTGTATACCGTTCGCCAGCCACGACGGAGAATTTTTCACTTTGGGACTGCGCGCTCGTGCTAAACGAAAATCTATATACCGTACTTGTTTTGGTCACTCGCATACTATACGCCGTTTGTATACAAAGATTCCGACTATGCTCCCTCGCTGAGAGAGAAAAACGTGTAACGTAAACGATCGTCACGAGAGGCTAGTTAACCCCTTCGATACTTCGTTGCTGCTGCTTCTTTTTTTATATCTCGTGAAGCGCGCACGACTCGTGATTCAAAGACGCGCGTTAGAAAAAAAAGGAAGAGGGAAAAAATATCTGCGCTCGCTCGCGCGCCGCTGCTGCTGCGTTTCTTCATATTTAGCTATACTCGATGGAGAAAAAAATTGCCTGCTGCTACAACGACGACGACAAGGCCTGAAGCGAAGTCAGGAAGTACTAGCCTCGAGTATTTTTTTTTTTCGAGTAATTTACCGGACAAGTGGAATAGATTTTATTGGTCAGATTAGCCGAAGAACATCTTCTCGTGTGCTCGCGCGCTTGTTGCGGCGAGCTGCATCAGGCAGCGTTGCATGCAACGAGTGGCAGCCCCCTGCGAAACCAAGCACGGTGTATATATAGCACACCGTTGCTGCGTTAATGCCATTTTTCTCTCTCTTTTCTACGATTTTTTTCTCCTTTTTTTTTGTCCGCGAGACTTTGGCGCGTAAATACGTAATTGGCGGTTTTGCGTGCGCGCGCGCGGACGTTGAACGGCCGTTCGCCGAGTACTTAAGTCAGGCTAATTTGTATAAACTCGAAGGATAATTGCTAATTTATTATCGAGAAGCTTTGGGATTCTTCGATTCGTGCCGCGGTGCAGTTGTTTTTCCGCGCGGGACTCTCTCTCGCTCACTCGGTGCCTTGTTTTTTTTTCATTTTTATATGCATTGACAAATTAATACGTTGATCTCGCGATTGCGTAATTGTAAAATTGCCGTGAGAACAATTATATTCCCTTTTCTTTTACGGCGCGTCGTTTAAGCGCGTTCACGAATACAGAGACTTTGTAATAATGCAATATTAAACGAAAACAAACCAAGTCTGACTTTGAGCGATACGCCTCGTAAACGAGCTCTTCGAAGAAAAATATCGTAAAAATTTCTTTTGCAAATGAGACGGAGAGGCGAGTTTAATATCGAATGATTTTCATCGACGACAACGCGATACCCCGCATTGCAACGAAAAATTTTACATTCTCTCTCTCTCTCTCTCTCTCTCTCTCTTCCTCGCGACACGCAAATATAATAATACATATAAGAATCCACGAGAAAGTGAGAAAGAAAAGAAACGCTGCGCACGTCTCGAAATGAAATTTGATTTACATCCGCGAGATTTGATACTCGTCGTCGTCGCGACGATTATTGCCGCGATGCGCCCGCAAGTCGATGTATCACAATGAAATGCCACGGCGCTTTCGGTATATAATAATATATTTTCATCACGCGCGTACGCACGCGCGCTTTTATTTACTTTTACGAGTCATTTTGAAAATCCTTATCCTATAACCCGTGGTACACGCTCGCGTACGTACTGTATTATAGGCATTTTATAATAATATATATAACGCGCGAACGAAGAGTGAAAAATACAATCAACGCCTTTTACGAGCTGCTGCTGCTGCTGTTGATGCTTCCCCGCGTGGAAAGAACATTTATTATTATAATAATAAAAAAGAAGAGAGAGAGAGAACGACTGTCGTCATTCCTTTCAATTATGCGCCCTTTGTCAAGCGACAAATGCTGCTGCTGCTGCTGCTGCTGCAGCTCTCCCCGAGCGATGGAGTGTTAACAACGGTCGGATTGGCCAGCCCTTTTTTCCGGCTTTCGAATGCTATATATCTCTCTCTCTCTTTCTTGCATGTATAAGTGCATGATGTATGAACTCGAGATAATGTATGTTATATTCAATTAAATCGTATACAGTATTATCGTATCGGCGCGTCATTGCCTTAAATTAAAATGTGAAATTTTTAACAATTAACAAATCTGTCTCTCGTTGATAAAGAAATTTTTAATACGAGCGATCGTGTTTAACCTCGTAAGCCTTAACTTACTTATACACACACACGCACACACACGCATATACACAGTCAGTTGTCATTCGCAAATATCTCTCGCACGTATCTAGTTTTTCCGCTGGACCGCTAGGCGGCGTTTGCACTTTTGTCGCCACGAAAATCCTATAGCTCCGCGAGTACTCGCAAGAAAAAGAGTCGAGTTTCGTAGTGAAGTAGGGACTCGCGAGCTCGCCAAAGCATACTTACCTGGCGCAGAGGCTACCGTGATCACGAAGGCGGTTCCTCCAGGGCGAGGCCCATCCATTGCACTACGGTTGGGTTGACCTCTGTGAATATCCCTAATGTGGATATCTCAGGCGTATAATTTTTGTTAGCCGGGTCTGCGTTCGCGCTAACCCGATAAATCAATCCAAAAATAATTATCTCATTCTGTATGGGACTTTTAAGTTAGAGGGAGAAATTCCGATCAGTTTACGAGAATTAGATTGTCCCGCTGTTTGTAGCACGTGTACAACAGCGAGAGAAGCTTGTATTTATTGGCTAAACTGAGCTCATGCTATGACAATGAATGTTTGTTTACATTATTACCTACAATATTATTTCGATGATTAATTTCTCTACGAAGATCCTCTAATTAAATTAGACAATTTTTTTTTTAACATTACAGCCGCAGTAAATGGTAATAGGATGGACAACTGCGGAGGTGGCGGCCAGCGCCTGCCCCCAGACGGGGACGAATTTCCCGCAGCTTATCAAGAGTTCGCGAACAATCTCCGTGGCAGAAGCAGCGCCAGCAGCTCCGTCATCAGTCAACAGCAGCAGTACCAACAGTACGTAGAATCTCGCGCCGCCGGCGGCATGACAATAAACACAACGACGACGTCCGCGACAACGAACGGCAGTAGCACGGATCATCTGATTGGCGAGTCTTGCGTCGACGGATTCATCAAATCCAGCGGCAGCGTCGGTACTCTCGGTGGCCTACTCGCCTCGCTCGACAGCAACAAGAAGGACAAGAGCAACGCGTCGACGACGTTCCTCGAGCTCGATCCGGACAGGCGCACGTCCGTCAGCAATTACGTCCTCTACAGCACTCATCTGCAGAAAATGGAGAAGAAGCTCGACATAGGAGGCGGTGGCAAAAACTTTTACTCGAAGGAAAGTGGTAGTAGCTGTAGTAGCGAGGACGACCTGCTGGAGGAGTCGACGACGCCACCGCCCTTGCCGTTGAGCATGCCACCAAGTGGCAACGGCAACGGCATGAAAAACAAGAAGGAGCAGCAGCAGAAAGCTGCCAACAACGATTTGTGGCGCCAGGACAACATGTCGGAGAAATCTGTCAAGGACAAGATAGCCATGTTCTCGTCGCAGGCGAGCCTCGATGCGCCCTTATTTCCCTGTTCCAGTGTCAAGCCAACGACGACGACGAGCACCGCCAGAAAACTCGTCAAGCACAAGTCCTCGGAGGACGTGTTTGGCGAGGAGAAGCGTCACAGCGAGCTACTCGTGCCGAAACTTTCTTCGTCCTCCTCGTCGTCCATGTCGCCTGCCTCGAACAGTCCGCCGACCAGTTACAACAGCTACTCGACCAGCGGCAGCAGCAGCATCGGAATCATCGGTAACGGCTACACCAATGGCGGCTCCGCCTCGTCCTCGTCGTCCTCGTCGTTCTCCAACGACAACAACGCGACGATGGCGACGGCGATGACGAGCAACAACAACAAGTACGTCTTCTCGAACGGCCACGCGAAGAGCGCCGGCATCAGCGGAAGCTGCTTCAACGTCAACGACACCTCAGCCAAAGTCGGCAACAATCTGACGAGGGCCACGAGCTTCTCGGGCTCCGCTACGAGTCTGTTCTCCAGCTCAGATCGATTGCAAACTTCGAGCGAGGTGCTCAACGGCGTCGGCAGCGGCAGCAGCAGCATCGCAAACGGCTTCGTGTCGCGGACGAATTCTCTCGTGTCGACTCTCAGGCGGCCCAGCGGCGGCGAGGAGTCGGCCAAGAGGAGCAGCTTGGACCAACTTATCGAGCAACGACGAAAGGGCTACTCCAAGCTGCGAGGCCTCGTGATACCCGAGAAGGACGCCGTACCTGTGGATCAGCCGATCATCGATTTACCAGAAATCAAGTCGAGAGATTCGATACTGATGAATCAGGTAAATAAAATATATATCGCGTGTTTACGAGTCATTATTGTATTGGTTGGCCTTTTGTATTACAATGTTATTTCATACGGGTCTCGTTACAGGTTCCTCGTTCGAATATTCAAGACAAATGGGGCTCGCAGAGTTCCTTGGCCAGCAACGCGAGCACTGTCAGCTCGTCGTTGCGTCCAGTCAACAACGGTCTCAATAACAACAACAATAATAACAACAGCTTGAACTCGAGCTTTAAAATACCGGCACCGAAAATCCTCTCCAGCTACTCTCCGGCCTTCAAACGCAAATCGCTCAACATTTACAGCGGCACAAATCAGAACTCGTCCTCGGTGCTGAGTCCCAAGTCGGCGAATCTTAACAACGGCAACAACAACATCATAAACAACTGCAACAACAATAACAACAACCAGCAGCAGCAATTGGGCAGCCCGGCGTCGGACGCGCCCATGAGCCTCGAGAGTATTTGCAGCCCGACGCGCAGCGACTACAGCTTCAACTTCGTCAACTCGTCGAGCACGTCGCCGGAAAACAATTACTCGTCCAACAACAGCAACACGAGCAGCGGCAATAACAACAACAACAAGTCCAAGTACCTGCTCAACTGCAACGGTCAGCGCGGCGGCAATGGCAAGGGTGGTCGCCACGAGTACGACGACTCGGACAACGACTCGGCCGTCAGCAGCTCGCAGAGCAGCATATCGCGCGGCTCGTCGCCGCTGCCCTCGGACAACAACGGCCAGCAGCAGCAGCAGCATCGCGCCTACGACAGCCTGCAGCAACAGTACAACAATCAGAAGACGACGCAGAGTCATCATCTACAGCTGAGAGCGCCGCAGCACTCGACGCTCAAGCGCACCAGTAGCCAGGAGACGACGGCCAACGGCAACGCGTCCACTTTGACGCCTGGCTCGCAGCAGCTGCAAACCGCCGCTGGCGCGGATACTCTTTCGAGGCGCGTGCTGAAGCCCCAGAGCGTCGAGGCGATCAATCGAAAGAATATACTCGCCAGCGCCAGGTGTCGGAGCGGACGCGATCACAACGGCTCGCCGCTGATACAGCGCAAATTTTCCGACGACGACGAGGAGCAGCAGCAGGTCAACGCCACCGCTGCCGGTGCCGCCACGGCCAATAATGGCGCGTCCGCTACCAATGGCACCGCCGGTAACAACAAGAAGCAGGAGAACGGAGGTAGTAGCAGCCGCTTCGTACGTATGAACGGCAATGGCGAGGCGACGAACAAACCACAGATCAAGGTCGCTTACATCGAAATTGTGGAGAACGCCGTTAGCGAGACCGAAAAGAAAGAGGTAATCGAGCAGCAGCAGCAACAGCCTAGGCTACCCCCCAAGAGGAATATCGAGCCAAAGAGCGTGCCTATACGTGAGTATTTTTTATTTCAAACGATCTCGTTGGTAATTTTACTTGAAAATATTTAAAACGTATTTTTGGTTTAAACGAACAGCCGCTGCGAGACCATCGAAACCCGAAATGCCGCCAGCTCCAAGCGACACGGTAGGTAGATGGGTCAAATTGGAAAATCTCCCGTTCCCCTGGCAGCCAGGATTCAATCGCGAAAAGGAAGTCAGTTATGACGAATACAAACCAACGCCGAGATCGCTATTGAAGGCAAAGCCAAGCGAAAATGATTCCGATTTACTCACTGTGCTGACCACTCAAAGCCGATCAAGGTGAGCTTACAGTTGTTTATTACTTCGTGTATTTATCATCAGATAAATCAGATAATTTTGAACGTTTTCTTTTTCAATCACATTAGATCTGCCATCCACGTCGAGGATACGAGCTACGGAGAACTAAAGAACCAAATGAGCTTGGAGGATATGCTCGCTATGAAAAATAGCGAGACTCCAAAGAAGCTGCCGCGCAGCAATCAGAACGGCGAGATGAAGAGTAGCCCCGATGCGCGTCGGTCGAGCTCGTCCGATTCGTGGGCCGAGGAGAAGATGTTCCCCAGCAAATTAGCAACGCCGTCGGCCAGCGTGAGGTCAAGCCGAGAAAGTATACTGGACGAGGAGGGCGCCAGCGCTAAGCTTCCGGCACCGAGAAATCTCGGCCGAAGAAGCGCCAGCGTCACGGACATGAAGAAGGTGTTCGAAAAGCCCGAGGCAACCAGTCCACCTATCAGTGGAACTTCATCGCCGGGAGGCTTTCTGGTTGGTTTATAAATCTCATTTACCTGCATGTTTTATTATGTCACGATATCAGAAAAAAAGAGATAGAGAGAAAAAAAATCACCCATCCAATTGCTCCCTACAATCTGTGTACAGAACAATGCTTCGTCGCACAATCGCTTCCCGAGCTTGGACAGCAGCAGCGTCGAAGATAACACGAGGCCAGTCGGAAGCAGCGATACTGAGCAGGATCGCTACAGCAGCGAGCAATTCGGCAGCATCAGCTCGCTGGCTAGCAGCACGAGTCTCATATCGCCGCACGAACTCGGCCAGCTCCTCGACGAGGTTAAACTCGACGATCCATCCGATCACAAAGGTACGGAGAGATTCTTTTATTTCCTGCAATGCCTGCCTGCCTGCCGCGTATCTCAACGGCGAGAGACATGAATTTTCTGAAACTTGCAACCCACGCGCTGCCGCGGTTATTTTTCAGTCACTCGATACACAAACGTTTTTACGCCAACCGGGATCGGGAGAGGGAATAAAAAAAGAAAGTTTGATTATGGGCATAGTTTTTTGTAATATGCGAGTTGGCGGAATTCTTGCCCCGAAGTGATATAAATACATATCGCGTTACCGGAGAGTCGTCATTGCTCTCTTGATCGCGATGACATTTTACTTTGATCCTCGTAAAATTCACATTTCAAGAAAGTTATCCGGTTACATCGCCCGCGCGCGCACGGGCGCGTATTAAACGCGAAGGGACAATGATACGAAAAAAAAAACGAGTGGAAACTGCGATTGAAATCATCAATTGAATTACTTTCTGCGATACATTACGACGAATTTAAATGTTTACAAGTTATTCGGGTCGAGAATATGAGGAAATTAATATGAAAAAAATTCCGACTGTCAACGAGCCGATTTATGGCGGCCGTATCCCCTCGGTGCCGGAGAAATTATCATACTCGAATATATATATTTTTTAATGCATGTATGTATGCAGGCGCGCGCACGCGCATATTACAGAAGGATAAATTTTTTTAAACGACTTTAAATAATAGACTGGTGACGCGAGCCACTATATTATGTTATATAGTCCATAAAAAGGAATTGGACCGAACATTTTTTTACGATACACGCTCATTCGGTCGACACATACCGAAAGCGCGCGCTCGCGCATAATAAAAATGCAGTTTCGTTGAACGAGCTTTAAATGTATTTTATTTGGCGAGATAAATTTTACGAAACAGAAAAAAATACCGGAATCTCGCGCGGAACTCTCGGCTGGAGTACGGACCAACATTAATATCATAAGCATCATTGTGCATCCGTAATAAATACAACACTCGTTTTACAGACGACACGCTGGTGATCTATCTGAAAAAGGAGGAGAACCCGACCGGTGGCGTCGGCATAACTCTGGCAGGTGGCTCGGACTGCGAAATCAAGGAAGTAACGGTTCATCGGGTACTGAAAAACTCAATCGCCGATCGCACCGGCAAGATACAGCGAGGCGATCGCGTCCTCAGCATCAACGGGTGCAGCATGCGCGGCTTGACGCATCGCGAGAGCCAGGCCGTCCTCAAGCAGCCGCGCGAAGAGGTCGTACTGGTCGTCGTGCCGAGGGCCAAGCTCGACAATACGGGCGTCAGACCGCGACACCGCACCGAGAGCGTCGAAACGATTGTCGAAGGTATGCGGCATATACATAGAAACGAAGAAAATAATAAACGCGTACTAATTCGAAAAATAGGTTTTTTTATTTAAATCATTGTATGAACTTTCTTGTGCAGACTACGAGACGAGCGGAGTAGGAGACAGCTCACCATGGGGTCCACCGATGACGGTGGTAGTGCGCAAAGACAGCAATGGTTATTTAGGCTTCAGCATCGATGGCGGCCGCGACAGCCCGAAGGGCGATAAACCAATCGTAATTAAGAAGATATTTCCTGGTTGGTATAATACTGCTATTGAACATAACTATTTGTAATTGTCTCGCTGAATACGGCAACTTTGCATTTCATTAGTCTCTGAATCAAGGCCGTAGCCAGCGGGGGGGTTTGGGTGTCAGAACCCCCCCCGAAATTTGGGATTTTACCTTCTGTTAATGGTAACCCAAGCTACATAAGTAACCCGGGTAAACCCCCCCGAAAAAATTTTCTGGCTACGGCCCTGCTCTGAATCATCGCTTTTACGATGAATCTCGCGCGCACGTTGCGATAACTTTTTTTCCATATTCCGTTAGATTGATCCTCATTATTATGATTTTAATTTTATTTTTCCAAGCAAAGAGTTAATTTACGTTTTGATTGAAGTAAAAAAAAATATTACTAATGGTTTTCCATGTTTTTCAGGAGGCCCCGCAGAAAAAACGGGCTTATTGTCCATGGGCGATCAGCTGCTCGAGGTGAATCAACGAGATGTCTCCCGAATGTCCAAACACGACGTTTGGACGATTCTGAAAAAGGTGCCCGAAGACTATGTCACCCTCTTAGTCAGACATCCAACCAACAAGTCATTGTAAAATCTAACCTTCGCATTAATTATCAGATATTCGTTTACTATTTCATGCGCTAATAATACTCAACTGTGCAATTGAATCGAAAATAATGTCAGTACGTAATGATAATAGTTGAAACTCAGTGCACAGATTTCTTCTTGCGTGTTTCGAGTACGTCGGTGTGTTTCTAAAAACTCATCTGATTAGTTTTTTAAATGTAACGACGATCGGATCACGAAAATTTCATGTGTGTTTCATCGAATATTTTACGTACAAATAGATTCTTTTTTTAAAGGTGCGATTATCTCGCCTTTGTTTGTGCCTTTTCTCTCAAATAGTTGTATTGTTTTATTCGGTTACATCCATTACTTCATGTAATACCATCATAGAATTTATATAAGTATCAATATTATAAATTTTACAGATCATATTCCGTATTTATAGAAAATATATATTTATGGATGTTTTGTCTATTATATCTTCGCCATATACTTCTAAAACAGTTGAAGCTCGATATATATTGTATAAACCAAGTGAAAACACTAAGTGCTGGCAGTGCAATACATTAAAATGTTAATAAGTGCGTGCGAGCGACGTACTTGAGAGCAATTATTCGGAAATAATTTTTACTTTAAAAAACTTGTACCCTCGCTATGAATTAAATTGATTTTGTATCATCGTAAATGTTTCTTAATTTAGTCGAATGTCGATCGACTAGACTGATTTTAATCGAAAGACAGAAAAACTATGATAAGGTTTTATGTATATATTTATAGTCCACGATTGATTTTAAATTTTATTCAAAAATTAACGTATAAATGTTGAGTTAAAAATTTTATGAAATTTTAAATAATCGAAGTTATTTAATCAAATGTAAATAAAATAAAAACCTGTTGCATAGTTTTTCCAATTAATTATTAACATGTATAATAATAAGATTTTTATATACGAATACTTACACAGATATGTATACTTTTATGTGCTAAAGTAAAAATTATTGACAATTAATATTTTTATCTTATCAATTGTTCAAAATTCATTTTTTTAGTGGTGCAACCTATTTTAAATACCTCAAGATAACCAATAAATTAATAGATAATAAGTTACACAGATCTTAACGTTGAATTAAATTAACAAGGAATTTGCCTACGGTATATTAGGAAAAATGATTTTTTGAAAGTAACTGCATTTTCATATGAATATCACTCATTCAATCTTAGATTTGACTTCATACTTTTTTTAAATCTTTAAATTTTGTTTTTGTATATATTATATATTTATATATTTAATCAATGGGTTGGTAAACATATATCAATATTTTTTATCAATGCTTCTATTGGAGGTCTCAAATTATAAAATCTTATCAAATATTGAACTTGCTTGTTTTGTTGAAAATCGTACTGTGATATGTGCAGGTGTGTGAAAAGATTTTGGTGTGTAATTTTACTTCAAAATAATCTATGAATTCCCAATGTTAAAAATTAACTTCAATTTGTTTAGTGATTTTTTAAGTGTTTCCTTTGTGCTTTTAATCCTGATTGTTTTTCATGTTTTGTCAAGTGTAAAATAAATTACTTTTCGATGTAACAACTCAAATAATAAATTATATGATATTTAAAATTATGTTATTTTCAAGTAGTTTTATCTTCAATCTCATAATTATTTTCAAGTAGGTTTACAAAGTTAACATTTCTGAGTTTTTGAATTCATTTTATAAAATCAACATATATTTACAATCTTTTTGAGGATTTAGAATTAACATAAAGTAATATATAACAAACTAATACCAATATGTCTTCTTTCTTACACGATTTTCTACAATTCCTAATTTGTCTTTGAGATCCATGTCGAATGTTTTCAGATTGGGCTGTAATGATAGAAAAATTGGATAAAGTATTATAGTAAGTAAAGGAAATATTTAATATGAAGCCTGGCACTCCACAACGTACCTCATAAGTCATTTTTTGAACTTCTGCTTTGATAGTATCTTTGTCACCTTCTACATATGCTTCAGGTGTTTTATAATCAATTGTTTCATAATGAGATGGTGGAACAGGGATAATTCTACCAGTTCTAACAGATACCCTCACTAATTCACCTTCTTCTGTATATCTCCATTCTATTTTTGTTGGCTTGCTGATGAAATTAAACAAAAAAATTTACAAGTCAAATATTAACACTTCTCAAAAACAAAAAAAAAGCAGTTAAAACTTACAGATCAGTTGGATCTACATGCTGTACATCAGTAGTAATCAATAAAGGCATTTCTTTTCGCATTGGCATACCCGGAAAATCTTTGGTTTTTCCCATCATTTCTAGAACAGTATTAAGTCCTTCTACGATGACCCAATTTCTTTCTTGATAAATGATCTTGACGATACCTTGCTTGCCCTTGTCAGGCCCAACCATAATTTCTACCTATTTAAAGAAAAGATAGATTCTACAGTTTTAGATTAAAAGTACAGAGAGAAAATTTAGATATTTTAATTCTATTTACTCTGTCTCCTCTATAGAATGGCCAGTGTAAAACAGGTTCTACATGAATTTTTTCAGGTATTCGACCATCCGGATTTTCCAATTTAAATTCATTAGTCCATGGACGATGCATATCAAATTGGAAAACTTTTTTCTCATGAGTGCGAGCAAGATACTTGGGTGGTCCAGGGGTTTTCCAATATATCTAAAAAAAGTTAATTGAATGAAATGAAATGAACATTGACAACAATCAGTTTAGTTACTAAAAAATTTGTATTACCCTCTCCATTGATCTCTTAATGTATCTGTCAGGTAAATTGGCAAATCTTTTGGAGTGTTCCCCCACAAGTTTTAAGATGTTAAACCGCGGCATTTTATTGTTTTCGAAATGCCGACAATATTTCAAAACAACTACTGTACTTGTAGTTTACACTGGATTAAATTAACAATGCACATTCATTTAAATTAACACATAACCTGATCGAGCGAAAATTTAGCTGTCTGCAACGAAAGTTATGTCTGCATTGTCGGCAAGCAGAAATAAACATAGCATTTGCGCCATCTACAAATGATAAAGAGAACCTGATATTACGAGAATATGGAGTTTTCGTTAGAATTTTGTTGAAAACTTATACAAAATTTGTGAGAATTATTAAATGACAGCTATGATAGCCTAGAGTTAAGATTACTTTAGTTTGAAAAACATTTGTACATGATACATTAATTGCTTAAATATCACCAACAAAATCGTGGTTTTTTTTTTGAGCTAACCAAATTTATGTATTGGCAACGTGTATTTAAGCATTGTTTTTTTTAAATATTTTTGGAGCGATGCAGTAGCATTTACAGCAGAAACCGGAGTCAGACTGAGAATACCTATAAAAGTTCAAACAAGTTTCTGTGGTTTTTAACGAATAATAATACATGATATATCTTGGAAGAGCTACAAGAATGTTATCGTTTTATTGTTTCCCAGACATCCAACATTGTACAGCAGATATCTCAGAAAATTCTTTTTTAAAATTCCCTTGTAATATAACTTCTGGCTTAGAGATTTTTTTCGTTTAACGAAAAGGATTTCATTTTTGCACGTGACCAATGGTAGTTAATGTTCGAAGGTACCAGGCAAAGTTCTTCCTTTTCTGTCGAATCCTTCCAAGAAGTAGCTGTAAATTGAAGAAACTTAAATCTCGCCATGGGTCAGGATTTTCTTTATTTCGAAAAAATCCATGAAAAATTGGGAACTTTCGAGAAATAATTGCAAAACATCGAAATGCTCTCTATATTTCCCGCGATCTTTCTTCGCTCTTTCTTTCTTTCTCTTTCCCTCTCTCGGTCTCCCACCCGGTAGACACGCCGCTGCGTTCGTATGTGTGTGTACGTGTGGACATTTTGCCGCGAAAGCAACGCTTGGCGTCGTCGCAGTCGCCGAATGCGCAGCATAAGCAAGTATACGAGTCAGCCCCCAACCAACCGCCAGAATCTGCTGCTGTTGCTTTTGCTTATACAAAGCAGCGGCAGCGGCGTTCGGCGGCTCGCCGTAACGTACACTTTATAATATACACAGCACCGCAATATAAGCAAGCAAAGGCAGCAACATCGGAGCTCGGCGGCGCGAGAAACGAGCGTTCCTCGGGGCCGCCGAGGAGGTATCTTTTCTCTCTCTATACACTACTTGCTGTGTGCGCTCAACACATCCGCCATTGTCTTTGCGCGTCTCTCGCCAGTAAGATCACACACGGCACGAGCAACTTCGCCGCGCGCCTCGCGAGCTACTATACAGCTACTCACACTCTCAGTACACACAACGGCAACAACGGGTCTCGGTTAGAGCACGGTCTCGTCATTCGTTGTATATTTTATTTTTATTAAAAATTTCGGAGCAAGCAGAGTATTATAATTCACGCGAACGGTACCGTCGTCGTTTTCAATTCAGCACCGCCGCCGCCGCCAGGATGGCCGATACGGACGAGCTGGAGCAACGTCGCGCCGAGGAGTACCAAATGCAGTTGTTCGGATTGCACTCACGTACCGCCGTAGCAGCGAGTAAGCACACAGAGCAGTACTGCCGTTGACGCACTCTTTTACACACATCAACACACACGCACACTTACAACACGTACAACGCACGTTCTATCACGCGCGCCAAGTCGACGACGTTGACAAAAAAAAAGGAGAGAGAGAGAGAGAGAAGAAAAAGAATTGCGAAAAACCGTCGACCGAGAATTTCGTTAATCTTTTTTCCTTCTAGCTCTGAAAAGTTTTCTTCGTATACGTAGCGTTGTATATTGCAACAAACAACGGTACAACGTCAGCAGCAACGGCAGTGGCGGCGGTGGAAGCAACAGCAGCAGCAGCAGCAGCACGTTTTCTTTGTTCGGGGTGTCGGACGGGTGTGCTCTGGTTTCATGTGGCTTATTTCCGATTCATGACTAGAGTTCACACTCGTCCAATGCTCCGCAACGGCAATCGTCGAAGGAGAGACAGAGACAGAGAGAGACAACGACGTTTTTCGTGCTGCTTTCGGATGGAAAAAATGCCATTTTCTGTATCGATTCTTTTTTCTTTTTTTTTTTTCTTATCCCCCAAGATTTGTTTCATGTATTATTCGCAGCGACTCAACTCTCGGGGCCTGCCGTACTCGCGCGATCGAGCAAAGAGATAAGTATTTTGCGCGCCTGCGTTTGGCTCACGCGCGCGTGTCTATGTGTGTTTGTGTGTGTGTGCGTTGATTTCAACACCTGTTGCTTCTCTCGCTCGCTCGTCTTATATACACACACGCACACATACATGAACGAATCATCGTTTTCGCGCACGTATACATAAAGCCGATTCACGCACAGCTACTGTGCGTATGCGTATTATTATTATACGTGGATATATGGCGCGAGCATGTGTGTACATATAATATTGCTCGTGTGCGCGTTACGTTATACACAACACGGAGAGTGTATAACTGTGTGCGCGTTTTGTATGTATACGTTGGTGTATATGCTTCATATTCAGCTAAAGCAAAAGCCAGCAGCGGCAGCAACAACACGGCGCCCCGACTCGATACGCGCCTTTCTCTCTCTCTCTCTCCTCGCTTGTGACTCTCTCCTCTTTTTCGCTGTACTGTGCCGAGAGAGAGATGCTGCGCGAGCACAAATACACGCTCACACGGACACACATAATGTATACGTGCCCCCGAGAAGCCGTTGGCTCGTGATTTTATATATACGTTGCGCCGCGCGCGCGTTGAGCGGATATTTTTTTGGACTTTTCGTTTAACAGCCAGCCGCACGGACACAAACACAAACGTACACACACACAAACACGATCGCATATATATGTATTTTATTATTTGCACGACTTCTATTTAAATGGGACTCTGCGGCGATGTTTAATGCTGTATAAAAGGTCAATAAATCGAACAATAAATAAAGACTGTTGACGCTGATTTTAATACACACACACACACACAAGAACGAGTTCAATTTCTTTGTTCACCTCCGTCACCTCTATGCGCGCTGTGCCAATGGACCCCCTTAACTTATGCCTCGTTATGTAAAGCCCGGTTGATCATTGTAGTTACAAGTTGTGCAGATATAAAATTTCAACGATTTTTTTCTAGTATCACTTTGGGACACGCGATAAAAAAAAAATACAATGAGAAAAATATATTATCCAGCCGGGTGCGCCCCTTCCCCCTATTGCCATGAATATTAATTCGAATTTATCGCGAAAAACCGTTACGATGACGCCGTTGATGAGATTAGTTTCTATGATGTGTTGCAGTCAATCAAAAGATCAAGGACGCTCTAGATACAAGATGCCGCAATCTCTGCAAATCAATTAGTAAAAAATACTCTTTAGACGATGTCGGTCAAGAAAAGCTTCAAAAATCGATCAATGACTTGAGAAAGACTTACTCGAGAAATATGCAACCTAATTTGAAATACATGGAGGTAGTAATTTTATTCGCAAGCTTGTTGATTGCAATCAAAAATTTTTGATTTTTAATACTTTATTCTCTAATTGTAGAAACTTATCCATCAATTCCTGAGTATACCGGATAATGTTTTGTTGGACGAGGACAAATGTCAAGAAGTACAGTATACAGATGAGCAATACAGAAATTTAGAAAAGGAATTGGAGGAGCTTCAAGAAAAAGCAAAAAGGGTAAATTACGATTATCTCAGAAAAGTTGTATATCTCAATCACTTTAATGTTTTTGTAATTTTATTCAGGTGACAATTTTTAATGCAGCATTAAAAGAAGAATCAGAAATAGCAGAAAATTTAGGGGAGTCTCAAGAAAAGGCTACAAAACTGATAAATATTGTTAATAAAGCTCTACGAGCTAAAAAGGTTGATAATAAAACTAAGCATACAATTGAAAGTTGTAAGCGTTTGATAGATTCACTTGATGAACATAAAAAACCAGCTCTAAAAGAAATTTATAATCCTAATGTAGACGAATCAGATTTAGATTTGAATCTTGACGCATAGTATTGTTTGCTTGAAGCGAACCAATTTGTATAAATCGAGTGATTGTTAAACTTGCCTAAGTTCTAAAATAGTTTTATGAACTAATCTGTATTATAGTGTGTAATTATGAGAACTTATTTTCTAGATTAAATTAATTTTTGTACTTCATATGCTAAATTGTAATGATTTTGTTATCCAACTCAATATGTTTATAAGGAGATGATGATTCATATGGTATGAACTTAAAACGCAACCCTTTATTCGTTAACATTTTTATTAAAAAATATTTTCAATCCTGCTTGGAGAAGACAGATCTTTCAATGAGAAATATAGTGAATGATTAATGATCAGTCAGTATAACTACTTAAACTTTTATAAAGCCCAAAAGTTTTTCCCTGCATCTATGGACAATTCGTGACTTATTTTCACTTATTTTCTTCAATACTGTTTTATTGAAGATATGTAATATTAAAATCAATTAGTTAAAACATTATTATTTATTAATTTGAGTTTAATTAAAATCATTTTGTAAAAAAGCAAACTCTCATGGTCGAAATTAATCTAACAGGCAGCATTACTTCGAAAACTCATGACCATTGTTCAAAATAAAAAAAAGCCTTGACTCCGATTTAAAAAGAAAAATCACTGTCTTTAAATAACGCAGATATCTAAAACATTGCGTCGCATACGTCGTTTCGTCGCACTGCTTTCCTAGGCCGGATCTTCCACGAATCGACACTTCCTGCGATGCAGGCCGCAGCGCCACTCGTCGCACATATCGAACGATTTAAACATTTCCGAGTTCCGCAGTTGGTGCTTTGCGCGCCACACGACGTTCGCGGGCGCTGATTGGCCGACGACGCCGAATCGCTCACCCCCTCTCGCGTGGCTCTGGAAGCGCTTCTTAGCGCGCGCTCGTCTCTGGAGCGTTGAAATGACGATCGGCTTAGATTGTTGCAACGGTCCCACACTAGACGCCTCATCTGCAACAAGTTGTTCGTGTTTTTGTAACTCCGAATTCTTCTGTGATTGTTGATTTTTATTACGTATTTGGGAGTAAACTGTATTAAAAGTATCATCTTTCGTTTACGTGAAATCATCGTTTTATACGAACGTTTGAATTTGATAATCCAATACGTCGCCCAAGTTGTGCTTTTATTTTAAGAAAATATAACAGGTGAGGTGAATTCTTTTACGCATTATTCAGTGAAATCAACTTGATATGCTTATCGTTAAAAATAACCATTTCCTTCAATGATCATCATTAATTAGTGCGAAAGATATTAAGGTTGAAATTGAAACGAGTCTTTTCTGTGTGTTAGTCTTGATCGCGGTGCAGCAAAAATGTGCGACTTCTTCCCCAAAATGAACGAGGGTCGTCGAGGGAGTGCCTCAACCGAGGCTAGCACCTTGTCAGACATATCTGGCATTTCGGCGTTATCTGGGGGTAGCGATTGCCATGTTACTGCCAGGTTGCTCGACTTGATGACCAAGACCGATTACGAATTGGTCCAAGAAAATGGTCAACGCAGACTAACCGCCCCCGAGTTGACCGCGGAAGTGAGAGAACGGATCAAGGGAGCGGAAATATTTTTGGGAAGACTACCGCGAGATTGCTACGAAGACGAGCTCATGCCGATTCTAGAGAAGGCTGGTCGATTGTTGGAACTGCGATTGATGCTCGATTTTTCTGGACAAACTCGGGGATATGCGTTCGCTTTGTATCCTGATGCAAGGACAGCCAGACGAGCATGCAGTGTAAGTAGTTTTGAATTGACAAGCTTATCAAAATCAATTGCTGAAATACTTGAATTTTTCATGATACGTTTTAGATGTTAGATGGTTATAAAATAAGACCAAACCACCCGATCGGTGTAGTCAAGTCAGTTGACAATTGTAGGTTGTTTTTTGGGGGCGTACCAAAAAATAAGACGAAAGAAGAATTCATGGAAGAACTGAGCAAACTTATGGAGGGAATCGTTGATATATATTTGTATCCTAATGCCCAAGACCGATCACTTAATAGAGGTACTTGGACAAAAATCTACTAATTTGGAATCAAACAATTTCAAGTTTCTTAACTAATTCTTTACGTTACAGGATTTATATTCGTAGAGTTTAAGGACCATAGGTCAGCAGCAATGGCTCGAAGAAAACTTATTCCAGGTAGGGTGTTATTGTGGGACCACGAAGTTGCAGTCGACTGGGCTGATCCAGAACCTGGTGAACCTGTTGATGAAGATATCATGGAAAATGTAAGTTTTTCTGAAAAGAATTTTGCCTTTTGTTACATTTTCAATAATATGAAAATTTTCTTAGGTAACGGCTCTTTTTGTCAGAAATTTGTCCATGGATCTTCCACAACAAAAAATAAGAGATATCTTTCAAAAAGCAACCAATATTCCAATTTTGAAATTGAAAAAGATCAATCATTTTGCTTTTGTACATTATGAAACAAGAGATGCAGCAGAAAGAGCAATGAGAATTTTAAATTGTATGTTCCGGTCAATACATCATAAAAATTGATTTTGAATCTGATTGAGTGATTATCTCTAACTTTTCTTACCTGTAGTACCTGGAGGAGTAGCGGAAATGGAACAATGGGAAATAAACTGGGCAAAACCAATTGGTCCAATTAAACAAGCAGAGCGTCAAAGATGCATTAATGAAGCCATTCAACAATCAAAGAATATGACCCAAAGAGAGATCAAAGGAAAAAAAATATTCAAGAATAAAGTTCAAAAATGTCCAATAAATACGGAAAATGAAAACACAGATTACTTAGATTTTTATTATGCTGGGATTTTAGTCGACTTCGTAACTAATGTTATGCAAGCAACATGTACTTTTGATTGCTTATCAAGTTATGAACCACCTGGCTATATCAACAAGGTAAAAATGTGTTATACATTTTTAATAATTCTCAATTAAAATCAACTTGTTTTTACGGCTTATTGTATGAATAAACTTTTAGGTGACCGTATTCAAAGGAAATGTGATAATTTATGAAGATTTTGGTCCTGTGCAACCAACTAAGCAATCATCTTTAGATGCAGCTGCTACAATTATTTTTGAAAAATTGAAGTCTTCTCATGACCTAAATATGTATCATGGTAAGTACGCTTATAAAATATTAATAGCTTGCTTTGTACTTGAAAACTAACACAAAAATAATAATTTATATGAAGGTATGTATGGACCTCCAATGAATGATATTACAAGACAAATGATGCATATGAATATGAATGCCATGGGTCCTACTCCTCAACAATCTTGCAGTTTCTAAAATGAATGAAAATATCGTAACAATTACGGAATCAAATTAGGTTACCCTCCTGTCACTTTAACGGCAAAAAACTTTTTTGACTATTTTTATCTAACGCAACAAACCATACATTTTTTTTCAACTAGAAATTTTTTTCTATTAATATTAGCGTTCTCGATTCTTATCTTCCAAAATTTCTTTGGAAAAAGACAATAATTAATTCTTTAATTGTAGCGATTTCTTCAAAACTATTGACTGTTTAAATAACTCGTAATTTTTATGTATATTTTTACACTCAAAAGCTTGATTAACTTCTGATTTTAAGTCTTGTGAAATAATGATTTCAAACCATTTTTCTTGAGCTAATACATTCAAAATAGACAAAAATTTCTAATTAAATGTTCAAGTTGATGATTCAAACGATTCATCAAGAATGTTACTAATGTATTATAAGTCTAGTTCAATTTTTATAGAGATTTTAATAATTTTCGAGTTTGAGGTCCCAACCATTTCAACTCGTTAATAATTCCAAATTCAATTTCATACTATTCAAATTGTATTGAAATTTTTAATATTTTTAGTTTTACCAAAAACTATTATAAAAAAATAGATTGAGATTTAAAAAACATAATCATTGAAAAAAATTAACTGATATCAATACTGTGTGCACAGTACTGTTTTTACATAAAACTAGTTTTTAAGGAATGGAAATGTGTAAATATGAACGAATCTAATCATTGTTAAAAATAATCGTTCAAAGTAGGTAGTAGCAGATTTAGAACAATTTTTATAGTTCTTATATTAATAATTATCAATCATTGTTTTTATATATTTCATACGCTGAAAAATGATTGTTTAATTGTTTGTTTTGTGTACTTGGTGTACATTTTTAATTTTATAAATAAATTTTTTTGTGCAATTTTAATTATAGATTGAATAATTTCGTAACCTTCTTTTCTTTTGATTTTTCAAATTACTGAGATAAAATTACTGAGTTTTGAGTTTGAGCGCTAGTTGGAATATCATTTCCAACATAATTAATTCATCATTTGCGCGCTCGTTTCTCGCGTTCTGTGAGCCTATTCAGTGTCTTAGTGAGTAGTGTAGCGTAAAGACAAATATTATGGTCTCATGAATCAAAACACGATAAATTATTGAAAGAAATCGCCAGTGCTATTAAGCAGACATTTTTACATTACTAGACCCTGTGAATTGAACAAAATGTGGAGCTGCATCGTGACTATTTTATTATTGGCGAGTGTTGGACTGTGCGGTAAGTCGAAATTGACAAAATATTATAAAAGGTTCTTTTGATAAATATTTCGAATCAAAAATCGACAGAAAGTGGAGAGTTGACAAGAGCATTTGGAGACACTACTGAATGTCAATCTTACAGTCCTTCCAATTGTACTGGAAAAACGACTGCCGATTGTTTTGGTACCGAGTACTGCGCAGAGCCTGGTCCTGAACGACAAAATCACTGCTTTAATCTTTGGGAATATGACTCCAATACCGGAGAAACATCAGTTATGATGAAGGTTAGCTAATAAACGTTTTTTATTCTTTGTACAAAACTTGAAATAAACATTTGAACGTTTTTATTTCTCCTTTAGGGGTGCTTTGGAACTAATCCTGACTGCGTAAACAAGCCGTTTCATTGCACACAGAGAATGAAAGGAGAAAATAGGCGGTTGTTTTTCTGCTGTTGCAATGGAAATAATTGCAATACGAATTTAAGCTACTTGTCATATTTAGAACAAGAAAAAGATAGCTTTTTGAAAAGTTAGTATGAAGTATTCGGAATTTTCGAAGTTGTAAAGATATATGATTCTAAATGTTTCATTCGTTTCAGACAAAGCTAAAGATCACGAAGAAATTGAATATTTGCCTGAAGCGTTCGTCATTACGAATCCGATGTTGCTTATAATTATATTCGGAACGCTCGTCATCTCGTTATTTTTTTCATCGGTCTGCTGTTATTTTTGCTACAAAAATATAAAAGAAGAAAAAGTAGTCACTTTAAAAGAAGCTCACAGAGGTTCAATGAGGCCTACTTATATACCTGGCAACATCGAATTTCACGAATTGAAAGATCAGGGTCGTTTTGGAAAGGTGTGGCGTGGAACATGGAATTCTGTTGAAGTTGCCATTAAAGTATTCCAAATGAAAGATCGTGAATCATGGATACACGAAGCTTCGACACTAGATATAAAAGGCATCAAGCATCCTAACATTTTAAATGTTATATGCTCTGAAATTAAAGGAAGTGGTCCAGATCAGCAGTTTTGGATGATCTCGGATTTTCATTATAGAGGCTCGCTTTACGATTACATGCAAACGGACGTTTTCACTTGGACAGAAACTTTTAAAATTGCATTGACTTTTTTCAGGTAAGTTTCTCTAATTGGTCAAGTATCAGATCGTCATGACAATAACGATTTCTTCACAGAGGTCTGCAGCATTTACACGAACAAAAAAATATCGATCCTTCTTGCTTCAAACCGTCTATCGCTCACGGGGACATAAAGCCGAAAAATATTTTACTCAAAGCAGATACTTCTGTTTGTATCGCTGACTTTGGTTCGGCTCAAGTTTTTTTCAAAGATGGTCCAATGGAAAAGCCATTTGGTCGGAAGGGCACTTCACGCTACATGTCTCCTGAAATGCTCGAAGGTGCCGTGGTTTTTACTAGGCAATCATTTTTGAGCATGGATATGTATGCAAGCGGTCTTGTGCTGTGGGAAGTCTTGACACGAAGTGCCAGTGCTAATGAACATGTTCCTCAATACATGGCACCCTACGAAGACCTGCTCGGATCGCGCCCCACACTCATCCAATTGCGGGATTGCGTAGTAGGAAAAAACTTGAGACCACACATACCTTATTCGTGGCGCAAATCTCCCGTAAGGTTTTTTTCATCATCATCATTTTGAATTGTCAAATTTGTCTCCGTTATTTTTCAATTGCATTATTCTTGACTTTCAGGGCTACGCTATAATGTGTAATATAATGGAAGAATGCTGGGACAAAGATGCAGACGCACGAATTACTGCATCTTGTGCCTATAACAGATTAGATGCAATGACAAATAAAACGAAGAGCGCAAGTCAATTGTAAATTGTTTAGTTTAAGGTTCAATCCTCATATAGTTCAGCTTATTGAACTACACTGTACAGATGGTAAAATATGTTAATTCGTGACGTAAAAATTTACGCAACGTCAATCTAGTCAAAAGTATGTGATAATAATTTGCATCAAAAAGCATATACGATTTATCCATATTATTTCGAAGAAAGAAAAAAAGAAGTATCGATTCGTTCTCCAACGATCCGAAGATTTTATTGTCGAATCATTAACGGCGTGATTTGCACAGTGAAAGTCGGCGGCGATCTACACACGCGGAAGTAAGGAAAAAAACGAAACTACAGGAAGTAGTATTTAGAGAGCCAAAGAAAGAGAGACAGAGAGAACACAACAACGTGCTGTTCCCGCTGCTGCAGTCTCTATATACACGTGGTGGCATGCGCAAAATCTCTCTCTGGCGCGCGCCGTTGTGCTGCTGTGCATCCTTCCTCGTTTTCGCAACGGCATTCCATCATCGACGCGCGCGAGATTGACCCTACTGCACAGCGCCAGACTGCGCTGCACAACCAACACACGGTCGTCGTCGGGGGCTACCCACCGCGCGACGTTTCGGAGTGGCATCTTCGACGCGCACGCGTCGTCTACTAGTGTGCATTCAACGTTGTACGTATAGCGACGTCGACGCTGCTGCAGCAGCAGCAGTACAACTCTGTCCACGCGCTCCGCGTCTATATATATACGTGTACGTATATTTATAATGTGTTGTATGTAAACACAAACACTTGTATTGATAGTTTACACCGTTAAACATGTAATCGTCGAGCTGTCAAATACGTTTTTGTATTTGAAAACAAGAAAACTGTAAATAAAAATATAGAAATACTTCACCGCATCAAATCGTAAGCAGCACGTTTTTAATAATCGTCGATCAACATCAACCGATAATGTAAACAACGTCGTTGACGCGGCCAATAATCGCCGAAGATTATCGCTGCAGTGGCATTCGAATAGGTATACTACTACTATACACATATCTTTCAATCATCTTCCGCGAGTGAATAAGAAAAAAGAGATATTATACTAATGAAACGTCAATGATAATCGCGCGCGACAACGAGCACAATCGCAACTCCAACGTCGCTGCAGTAACAGCAGCCGTAAGCCAATGCACCAAGAGATCTCGGCGCCTGCGACAACTATAATACTCGCGTAGCATCGACCTTACGTCAACGTTGTTTTTATAACACAATTTTCACGATCCATAAACGATGACAATAAAAAACGATGACACGGCCAATGTAGTATAACCTCATCATCGCATAGCATACATAGCCGAGACGACGACGACGAAGATGATAATCGTGTCAGTGTGTGTGCGTGCTGCGGCGGAGAGCATGTGCAGATGCTGCTGCTGCTGCTGCAGTCCGACCGCGTTTTCTAGCGCAAAGCTCAATCAAAGCGCACCAGTGTCACGTGAGTGAAACTATTTTTCCTTCTCGCGTATTAGCAGCGGAGCACGAGCTCTCTTCATCTGCTCCGTGCTGAGTGCACTGTAGCCTATATCTATATTTTTTGAAGGCACGTACAGTACTGTACCATATACACATGCCTCTGCTGTCAGTGCATAATATAGTGCACACACACACACGGTATAGTGGCGGAGGAGGAGAGCCGAGAGAGATGATCGCATTATATTTAATCATAGAATCATAGAGAGCAGCCTATGTGTGTACGATGATGCCTCGGTATAATGGCATAGCTGTACATTTTATTATTGTACCTATGCGCGCGTGCTCTCTTTCTGTTGATAATAATTCGAGTCATTCCGCGCTCGCGCGCTGCGGACAACTCGTCTTTTATTGCATGCGGTATTATGTAGGATTATTGTGCGATACGACTCATAGTTCTAGTGTGTGCGTGGGTGAGCGTATAATACACCACAAAGCTTATCAATAGGTCGTGCACCGACGTGTTTCTCTGCCACTGAACCTGTCCGATCGAGCTTTATTTTTTTTTTTACGTCATCGTAGTTTTTTTTTTCCTCGTTTCTATCTATCTGTATGTCACTCTGCTTCCCAGAACAAGCCGAGAGGTACATTTTAAACGAAAATTACATCGATTTTTCTCTCTCTCTCTCTCTCTCTCTCTCTCTCTCTCTCTCTCCTCTCTACCTGTACCACGATTTTTTTTCGTCTATCTTCTTTCCTCTCTTGGCCCCCCCGCACGCGCGTTCAACTCTTCTCGCTCTCCCATTCACCACTCTCGTCGTGTGTAGGTATATGCATGCATGTGCATGCAGTCCGCGCGTCTCTCGCTCTTTCTCGCTCGCTCCACGCGCGCGCGAACCAAGCTCGAAACCACCAGTGCTGCATGCATGCATATACACGAGCACAAGCCAGTGTTTTGCCAGTCGCAGGCCGAGGCACGCAGTGACTGCGTTGTGTGTTTCGCGTTCATGCCCGCAGCACATATAGGTAGTAGTAGTAGTAGTAGTAATAGTAGTTGTAGGTACTGTCAGTGTCAGCTGATATAGAGCTGTGCTGTGCGATATACACACACGGGGACGCGTGGGTGTTTGTTTTTTCCCGAGGTCGTCACAATTTTTCACTCGGTTCTCTCGCTCGCTCGCACTCGTTGCTGCTGCTGCTGCTGCTGCTCTATCTGCTGTCTGTCTCTGTGCGTCCGCGTGTGCATATGTGTGCGCGAGTACAGGCACAGTAGTGTGTTGTATGCTGCACGAACTAGGTGTATAATATATCGGCCAAGTGGTGGACACAGTCGTTCGACGACGTTTGTGGTCTGAGGTTTTGTGCATTTTTATTTTACTTATTAATCGATGCGCATCGTGCGTAGACAACAATTTTTCGTCGAACGCTTCTTTTTATTCGACTGTCTCGCTCTCTCGATGCTGTTGTTGTTGTTGTTGTGTTCGAAGTGAGTGCGCGCTTCGTCTTTAATAATCGTCTCTGGCTTGAATTATTCACAATTAACTCACTGCACGCTTTTAATTATTCAGCAGCGTAGACCTGAATCTGTATTTTTGCCTACTTTAATTATTCATAACGTTAATTATTGACTAGTGGTATGAACCTGGCCTGTGTGTGCAATGATCTAACATTGATTTTTTTAATCCGTCTCGAAACTCTCCAATGACATGAATGAATTTTCGCACAAAAACAGGTTGATTTTTAAATTTAGAAACGATTGGAAAAAATCGCGAGCATAAATTGTGGAAAATAATTTGCAAGCCTGATTTTCCTGGATCAGATGCCTATTAAATATCAGAGATGATTCATTTGATATTGTTATCTGTCATTCAATATTAAAAGATATTTTTTTATTTTGCAGAATTCATGAGGAAATTTTATTCGTTTGATTCAATATGAATTATGAGGCGAATAGAATTGCGACTTTCCAACACTGGCCCGTGAACGCTGTAGTGCACATTGACCAGCTAGCCAAAGCTGGATTCTACTACACAGGCAGAGCGCAAGAAGTTCAGTGCTTTTTGTGCGGCATCAGAATATCAGTGTGGAATTACACTGATCAAGCCATGGCGATACACAGAGCATCTAACCCAGAATGTCCAATTGTTTTGGATCCTAACACAAATCTCAATGTCCCATTGAGTTCTGCCACAAATGATATACGTCCAAGCTCCAGAAACAGTAATCATAGAGAAAATTCTGAATGGGACTCAATGGCTGCACAAAGAACTAATCTTTTAAGGTACAATGTAAGATTAAACACGTTTGAAAATTGGCCATACAGTGACAAAATTGCTCCAGAAAGATTAGCTAGATCTGGATTTTTCTATACGCAAGAAGGAGATATGGTAAATATTTCATTTCAATTAAACTGCAAAATATTTAAACAACTCTTTTAATGTATGGCTTCTTGTAGGTCGAATGTGCATATTGTCGAGGAGTAATTTTAAAATGGGAACCTGGAGATGATCCTGACACGGAACACATAAAGAATTTTCCACATTGCGATTTTCAGCTTAGACGAGAAGAAAATTTAGGTAATGCAGGAAAAATATTTTCCTCTTTCTTTCTAAACTCAAAATGTTTCAAGGGTAGCTATAGCATTACTTTGCAGGGTTAAAGTATCAATTTTATTTCAACCTTGCCAAACTAAATTCTCACTATATAAAAATCTGAGCATTCATAACGGCTGAGCCAAGTTTATTGATATTTTGCCAACTTATTGATGCACCCTAAATATAAATATTTGGCAGTGTCATCAAGCAAGGTAATGTTTAGCTGCAAAGCTAAGTAGTCTCTGTGAATTACATAAACAATTAACTTCCTGATCGATTAAAATCTTAGTTACTGAATATGGGCTCAGGTGGATAATAAATTGAATAATTTAAAAATCTTGATTGAAAGTTAAAATTACATACTTATTTAATACCTATTAAAGTCATAACTTCTCCTACAGATCTGTCGTGCAACATTCAATTTATGCCTGGTACAACTTCAAGCTTTGCAGAATTAGGTGTTCAATATCATACTGCACCTAAGCAACCTAAACATGCAACATATGAAGGCAGACTGAATACTTTCACAGGATGGCCCACTCATAAAAGGCAAAAACCGGATATGTTGGCTGATGCTGGTTTTTACTATGTTGGTGAGTATTTCATGTTAATAGTTTATTTGGTTTATTTATCAAGAAATTTAGCTGTCTATTCTTTATATTTACTAACAAAAAATTTCTCATCAAGGTCAACAGGATCAAGTCAGATGTTTCCATTGCGATGGTGGTCTAAGAAATTGGGAAGAAACTGACGATCCATGGATTGAGCACGCCAAGTGGTTTCCTAAGTGTGGGTATGTTGGATTAATCAAAGGCCAAGATTTTATAAAGCAATCATTAGAAAACAGACCACCTGTTGACCAGGTAATACATTGTTTTATTTTCGCTTCATAAATATGTAAATTATTATATGTTTTTTTATTTTGATTTCGTGTAGGTGATGAATAATACTGGTGAAGCTGCAGAATCCCAAATGAATCCAGTTTTACCTGTCGACGCATCTTTACAACTTCCCAGACAAGTAACAGATGCAGAGTTGGATAGGTTGCTTGGCACACCACCAGCACTTGTGAGTATTCTTTATTAAATAATACTGTCAACATTTTCTACGTAATTTTTATTTAATCAATCAACAATATTTTTAGACTGCCCTAGAACTTGGCTTACACGTAGGCCGAGTCAAAATGGCATTGAAACGGCGAATCGAACGAGTCGGCGCCCCTTATGAAAATGCTGATCAACTCATTGAAGATGCTACGCAAATTCAGCTGATGGAAGAAAATAGCTCGTTAGTAGCACAAATTTTTTGAATAATTTAATAAATGAACAGTCTTTAAAATAATATTTTCCTATTTAGGTCTAACGTAGCAGGCGCGGCGGCAGCGGCCCCTGAATCGCCATCCGCAGAACTTACCCAATTATTAAACCAAATAATTACAACTGCCGAAACAACAAATAGTATGAGCGAAGAATCTGCCAGAATGATAGAGAGTGAACAATTCCAGACGCCATCTCCGGACCGAAGAAAAGAAACTCTTCAAACTGTAGAAGTGGAAACTCAAGTCGAAGAAGCTGATACTAAGACTGAAAAAATTGGTAATTAAATTACTCCTTTGTTATGAATACATTTTTAAAGTTTTGATTATTGCTTATTAATTTTCTCAACAGCCTGCCTAGAAGAAGAAAATAGAAAGCTAAGGGAAGCTCGTTTGTGCAAAATTTGTATGGATCGTGAAGTGGCTGTAGTTTTTCTGCCTTGTGGTCATCTGTCAACGTGTGAATTTTGTGCACCATCTTTGACACAATGTCCAATGTGTCGACAAGAAATTCGTGCAACAGTTCGCACATTTTTAGTTTAAAAATCAGTTCAAAAAACTCGTTAAAGTGCAGTTTATATACGATACAAAACGTAGTTGATCTATTTCGTAATATTTATTTTAACTGAATGTCAATACGACTTAGACATAAAACATATAAGCCTAAATGCGTATTATGGAACAATCAAGCGAGGAAACAACAATTACATGCATAGTGATTGCCCTATTTTTTCATTATTTAAACATTTTTAGATATTTTTTAAGAAATCGTAAGTCATTTTTTTACAAATTCAATTTACGTTTGAAAGTAAAGATAATTTATAAATTTTTATCATTTAAATGATAATATGACATTGTATAGTAAAAAATGATTTAAAATGAGGTAAAAGAGAACAACTGACAAAGTATAGTTTTTATTCGGTTAAATTATGTGCATTATTGGTTTATAAATTTTAGATTTATAATGAATTCAAATGAAGCAATGGAAAATGAATCATAGAAAATGCATACGTTTTCAAATTCAAAGTTTTAAGAAAAAAACTTCGAAAATTTGAATCTTAACGCTATAAAAATTATATTATTAAGTAAATGAATAGAAAAAAGAGTATTATTTTTTTTGCGTAAATAAATAAATTTAATGAGCTTTAAATAAAATGATAACAAATATATGCTCCAAATAATATATGATATCATTGAGAGAATATGTTGAATATATTAGAAATATTTGAATCAATATATTGTAGATAGAAGTTATACGAAATTATATTTGTTGTTGAAATAGTAAATTAGCTCTTGATTTAGAGTTAAGGAGGTAATCTGTGTCGATATCAATTAGACTAATAGGAAAGAATATAATAAATATCTCTTAAGATACACACTAGATGGAAATGATTTTCATTAATTTCGTTTATAAATATGGATCGTTTGGAAACGAAAGTTTTCCTAATTCTATGTGTAGATTAGAAAACAGTTGAAATGTTAAAAATTTTATTCTGAATTTTCTGAAGGTATATTTATGATCTTATTTTATGCAACTTTTCAATTATTGGTCTTAAAAGTTAATATGTTTACTTGACCATTTAGACAAGTATTTGGGGTGATAGTACAAGAAAATTCTCACAATATCATAATATGCAATTCTAGTGATGATTACACACTAACACTATCATGGAGATATGTATAAATTATATATGAATGAAAAATTTACGTTTTTTAAAAAAAATGTATTAATGTAGTTTTGACGAAAAAAAAAATTAAATTATCGATCTATACGCATGTGTTTGAATCTTCGTCGGATTCACAGTTATAACTCGTTAAGTTGCTTCTGCAATTTTACCGATAAGTATAATTTTTTACCTCAAATAAACATTAGGATTCATAGAGTTGGAAACTCATAATTAAGTAAAAATATGATACTGAGCGCTTAATGTTCCTGCAATTAATTAGTGGATTTGAGAAAACACTGTATTCAGTAGTTCATTGCTGCGCAAACCACGCTTAAAATGATCGTGATACCAGATGTGACTTCACAAACGCTTATAAAAGTATTAGAAAGATTTAAAAAAAAAAACATATATAGAAATATATAATTAAAAAAATATATTGATTAAAATATTCCTTTATTTATCATTAATGCTATTGTAATTACGGCTCGAGAATGTTTTTATTGTTATAGGCATGTAGCTTCACAGAATGAATTTATTTGTAAATATCAACATGTATTTTACTAAAACACAGAGACACACACACACGATAAATCATATTATCTTTCTATTGAAAAACAGATTGTCATTTTCCAGTATGAACGTCTGGTCTGGTCACTTATATGCTCTACTTCTTTTTGTGATAGCGTATTTCTTTGTTTTAACTGTTAGTTATTTGTTCGAGGGATACAATGCATACATATATTACAACAACAAGCAAAAAAAAAACGAGAAACATTAAACTTTCACTACGAAAAATGAAAAACTGTGTTGTTGAATTGTTTATTTTCCATCTCTTTGCTTTGACTTACCAAAATTATATTATATTTCTTTAAAACTCTTTTGTAACGAAGCTTACTGTACATAAATTAAAATTCGTTGATATGCAGGCGTTGTGCAGAGAAAAACAGGTGCAGCTGCTGCTGCTGCTGCACCACTGCACACCTGTTCTGTCGGACGCGCGATTGAAATTGGTATATATTACGGGGGCACCGAAACACCACACCGACGTTCGATCGAGCATCAAGCTTTGCTTCTCCCGTATAAACAGGTGTTTTTGGTTTCGGAGAACGATGACGACGATTTTTGTTTTGTTTTCATTTCTACGTTACATTATATTCACTGCCGATCCTCGAATAGGCGCACTGGCGTGGCGTTTCCTGCGGTGGCGCGCACACGACACATTGTTTTGTTGTATTATAAATTTTATACTCGAAAGCTCGTGGCAGGCAGCAGCAGAGCCTCTTGTGTTATCGTCGTCGCGCATCCGGCATGAAGCAACCAATTTTCGCGCTTGTTATGTGTACAGTACATTATATCGACGCTCGAAGAAAAGAGAAGATGGCATTCATTCGACAGGGCCTTTATAAACTTCTTCGAGCCAGCACGAGGCGATAATATCGTTTTCGTATATTATAATGTGTGCCGTATCGAACTCTCGAAGTTGGAACAAGAAAACGTTTCAGAGAATTTTTGCAGCTGACTCAATGTCGATAATGTTGCATAGTGACGCATGTTTCGGACATTTTTATCTCGCTCCGCTCGTGGTCTCTCTTTCTCTGTTGCTGCTGCTGTGTAAGCAAGCATGTGCGTTTGCGTATCGATAATATAACGTTTATATACACACTCGATGGTTTATTGTACACGAAGAAACAAAAAGAGGCCCATTACTGTATCTCGATATAATTACACCCGAGAGTTCGCCGAAACGCGATCGTACATTAATATTGAATCAAACTCTCGAGTTATTCGGCATTAACGAAAAACCGAGCGAAATAATAATTTACAATATAATATCTACATTGTTTAAAGAGTCAGATATATACGCAGAGATTCTTGCCACACGAAGCCGAGGCACGCAAAGTTTTGTGACTCAAAGGGTCTATTCACCAAACAGCGCGTTTAATCTATATTTAACGTCGTATATAACATCCGAGCATTTCCGGTGTGCTCTCTCAGCTCGAAGGTTGCCATGGATTGGCTCGTGCGTGCTATACTGCTGCTGCTGCCTGAAAAAGAGAACGCGAAGGTTTTTGATATTTTCGGCGCTTGCCACATACTACGCGCGGTTTCCTCTCTCTCTCTCTCTATAATATGCATACACGCACAATCTCCGCGAGATTTATCTCGATGCTCGCGAGCAAAAACCCAACTTCGAATCTAAGACCGGTATCTCTAAGTCGCGTTGAAATTTATTCATTGAAATTTTTTTTTTCTTCTTACGTACGTAATCGGCACACACACACGAGCGAGCGCGCGCCTCGTTTCATCATAGCTTTTCATCCGCTTATAAGTCCGCACACGATTCAATTATTCTCTACTTGGCTTATTCTCGCAAGAGTTCTCGGCGCGTCCCGATTCTCATTTTTTTTCTATGACTCCGCGCGACGCAAAAGTCGAAATATAATTTATGCCCATAAATTTTTGCGTTTTGCAAGTCTTGTAAAAAAAAAAAGAAGAGGAAAAAGAAAAGAACTGGAACGCGTCGGTTTAAATTTAAAATTGCTTTGGGAACTGTATAGAAAAAGGAAATCGGGGCTTTTAGCACACGCGCGCTCGTTTATACATTATAAGTATAACGATTATTCTCTCTCTCGTTTTAATTTGTTTTCTGTCGTATTTTATTCAACTAAGTGCCACGCGCGAAAGTGTCTGTAAATTATCTTTTCTCTTCAAAAAAATAGACAACAAATTGAATAGTTAAAGACGCTATTGACGTTTAAAATCACGCAATAATAACTTCGAAGGAAATAATCATCGCATCGATCCCTTTTCTCGGCATCGTTGCACGCGCGCGTGTGTGTATATAATCAATCGACTCGATGATCGTGTCTCGCGTGCACGGCCCATTATTCACCGAACGAATGGGCTACTCGCTCGATTAACGTTCGACATCGACGACGCTTTGTCAACAAATCCCTGAACCGATCGATACGTGTATCAAATCCAACTATGCCGTATCGTCGTGCTCCTTTATCCTATTTAAAAAAATAAATAAAATCAAGTATGAATTATTCCAGCCACGCTCGGTGGCGCTCGCGATGGCGTATACAAAAGATCGAGCTCGAGAAAAGCTCTTATTATTTTCGAGGTGCATCATCGTCTGGATTTATTTATACGATACAAAATAGCCGTGTACATAATATTAAACGCGCGCGAAACAAAACCAAATCCAGCCGCGCGAACAAAGCTCGATCTCGAACTCGCTCGTGTCGTCGACGATTAATAAAAAACCCCGGCATTAATCATGCCTCCAGCTCGTTTGGCTGATGGCATTGTAGTATATAAGTAAGTATTATAGCCGAGTACGCTGCTCATCATGAAATCCAAAGACACACGCGCGAGCAACATCGGCAAGATCGTGCATACGTATCATCGCAACGAAGATTGGCATACATACGTAATTAAAGCTCTGTCTCGGTGGCGGTCGGTTTTTTGTCGTTACGTTGCTGCTGCAGCCAGCCAGCGAGCTGAGAGAATATCGGCGCCTCTTTTCAATTTTATTTTTAAGCTTTCGACAGCAACAGCAACGATTGCGCGCGGCTAAAAGCGGTATAAAAACGTACACATACACACGCGCGCGGCTAAGACAATCGCATAATGATAATGATATCGCTCTGCGTGATCGGCAATCGATTTTCAATTGCGTATTCATTATGTATACACTTTTGTGCCGCGTGTGCCGATCAATCGATCGAAGCAAACGATCATCATCATCGCGTTCGGGCGTCTTGATGTACGAAGTATCGTAACACAGCCGCGTGTGCTGAAAAAGTGTTTATACGTACGTGGAAACGTGCACGAATGTCAAAAGCTTCGATTAATTAAGAGACTCTTAAGAAACTTTAGCTTCTCCATCTGTTTCATTTTGTATTTCATATAAATTCGCAATTGCAACGATGGTCCAGTGAGATTACAACGTATGGCGTTATTCTTAACATCTGGATCAAAGTCTCTTACATACGTTTCGGAGTTTAGTCATGCGTTAATTGTACATAAGCACAAGCACGAATATGCGCGTTATAATATCTCACTCGCGCACGCATCAACCTCGCCCTTGTATAGCAATAGTAGTAGGAGGCTGCGTGCGTCGAT